CGCCGCTCGGGGAGGAACAATGCGGGCGGCCCCGCCCCTCGGCGCCCGAGCAGTCGCGCGCCGCCTCGCGGTGCCGGGAGCCCAGGCGCGGGGCAGCTGCACCAGGCGCCGGAAGGCGGAGGGCCGCACGTGTATGGGGGGTGCGGTGGGGCGCCCCTGCGGCGGATCAGGGCTTCCCTGCACGTGGGGTCGCGGCTAACAGACGCCGAGCCTCCCGGCGCGTAGAGCCTCAGCACGTGGCGCGTCCTTGCGCGCGTGCGCCGGCGGCGGGGCCCCTCCGCCACGTGCGGCTCGAGCGCCGGGCAAAGGCTGAAGCAGGTGCCTCCCCCATGCGCGGGAGCTGGGACTCCCCGCCCTTAGAGGTCGCCCTAGCGCGCTGCACAGGCTGGGGAACCCGACCCTGCAGCAGGTGTAACCCGCCTGCCTCGCGGAGCCTTCGCTCTCCAGGTGCCAGTGTTGGGAGCCAGTGTTCATTCGCCGGCCCCTCCGCGCGCCATGGTCTAAGTCTCTGGACAGGTGGGGCGCAGGCCCAGAGGGCCAAGGAGGAAACTGGAGTAGAGTTGGGACCTTAGGAATGCGAGCTCTTGCGCCCCATCCGTACCACCTCCCGGACTACCGGCTTTCTGGAAGTTTTCGGAGGAAAGCAGTAATATGGCCGCACCCCACCCCTGCTTTGCTGGACCCACCACCAGATTCCAGCTGGGGGGTCAGAGAAGAGGCAACGAGAAAAAGGAGAAGGGCCCAAACTAGATTGGAGGCGAGCCCGATGGCCAATCTCCCTGCTGAGGAAGCTGCAGTCTGCCACAGTGCAGGAAGGGCCGGCGTTGCTCGAAGAGTTCCAGGCCTGTGTGATTGCTCACTGTGGGCAAGTAATAATTTACCTCCACCACAATCCAGTTACTGTTGAAAGCACTTTATAGGATTTAACTACTATACTCCTCACAGTAACGCATTTCACAGATGAGCGAATGTATGTGCAGGATTGACCTGAAGCGTCTAACGCCTAGCGCAGCGCTCAAGTACAGAACCAGTTTGCACTCTAAATGGCTACTGGTTGGGCGGTTAGTAATGTTGAAAGTTGGTTCTGTCCGTTGTCGGGGCTGCGGCATCTGCTGGTAAAGCCTGGTATTGCAGCCTAGGTTTGTCGGATTTGTGGGATTGTGGTCCCAGGAGCCAAGTAGGCAGCTGGGGAGTCTCTGGGTGGGGCAGAGGATTAAGGGTTTAGCTGCTAATAGGAAGGTTGGAGGTTTGAGTGTGCCGCCGGAGAAAGGCCTGGCGATCTACTTTGGAAACAGTGGCCATTCAAAACCCTGTAGAATACAGTTCTACTCTGACACTCAGGGGGTTGCCATGGGTCAGAATCGACTGAAAGGCAGCGGGTACTGGTAAAGAGAGGGGGAAGTCATAGTAACAGAAAAGGCAATGGACACGGCAGAGGAACTACAGTTCTGAGCCTATGTGGCTTTCTTGTGCCCTATAAATTCACTAGACGACGTCTTTAATTGCCCATTTTAATAATAATGAAATTTGGTTGGAAATAGATATAGTGTTTGGCCACATCCAACCTTGCTTAGGAAGGTCTGTAAGGTAAGGGACGCACATGCAGGCAGAGGTTTTTTTCACATTCACTGTATGCTTTGGGAAGAAGGAAGAGGAGGGATTTTTATTTATTTGATAGGCAAACATTTTCACACCAAAAAATCCACTGGCCGACTGCTTTCTGATTGTTGTAGTGGGGCATTTCCCGATATGGTGACAGAATTTTCTCATGAGAATGTTGACAGCCCTTAGGCCACAGCCACATTAAGGATTTGTGTTTGGGGTCAGTGGCTTCAAGATCATTGATGCATCCTTAGCAGAACCCCACCCCTACCCCCATCAGAGAGATCTCTCTCTGCTCCCCTGTTCCTTGTGAGGCGGGGAGTCACATAAATTGGCTGATGCCCAGGTTACAAGATTAAAAGGGTCTTAAGGGCCAAAGAAAATTTAAAAAAGTACACAAGAGCTGAAGTACATCCCACCTGAATTTAGACACCATCTCAAGACTAGGTTTGGCACATTGAGTTCTAATGACCAAAGACTAGATGAGTTGTAGGAGGACATCATACATGAAGAAAGCAAAAGATGATTAAAAAGATGGAGGAGAAAAAGACAAAAAGGGATGTCAGAAGACTCTCAAACGTGTTCTTTTTATTTTATTTTATTTTATTTTGATTTGGGTGAAGATTTATAGAGTAAATTCACTTTTCATACAGCAGTTCACATATAC